ATATCGCTGGGTGACCTGCTGTGATTGCAGTAGTAGGGATTGGGAAGCTGCTACTGCCTCTGCCGTGGTGCTGGTGCATCTTCCACCCATTGCCTCTCTAGTACTTCTCCAAGTACTTCTCTGGGCCCACTTCCCCTTTCTGGGGGGCAGGAAGCTGCTGCTGTGGTGCCTGTGGTACAATGAGGGTCAAGGCAGGCAGGGGGGACTCTCCCAGCCTCCTGAAACAAGCTAATCCTCCCCACAATGTGCCACAATCCCCTTCCCAGTGCGAGGGAGAGTCTGGCCACAGAGCTCATTCATGTGACAAGCATGAGGAGAGGATCTGGGTCCCTGCCCGGCTCCCCCTCGGCCTCGGGAGTTTATTCAGTTGTTTCAGGAGCTTTGGGCTGTGCTGAGTGTGCAGCTCCGGCCAAGTGGCCGGAGCCGCTGCTCTGCAAACAGCCACTGCTGTTCCCAGCAGAGGGTGCCGGGAAAGAGGGAAGCTGCCGGGAAAAGCCGGTCTGTCCCAGGCTGGCACTGCCTGGCTGGGCAGGAGGCAGCAGGTGCCCGCTCTGCCTGGGATGGGGCCAGGGAGAAGCAGTGGGGTGGCTTGTGCCATCCACCTCGCTGCAGGTGGGAATGGGAATGACCACTGCCCACACCCCACCTCCGCTCCCGCGGAGGCTCTGACATACCTGTAGAAGCCCTTGTTGTTATTCTTCGCGTCTCTTGCCAAGTTCAGTTCCAGCCTTGGCCTTCCTGACCCCATCTCTGCACAACTGGGCAGTGTCCCTATACTCTTCCCAGGATACCTGTCCCTGCTTCCACTGCCCGTGCATTTCCTTGTTGCCCTTTAGTTTGACCAGCAGGTCTCGACTCAGCCATAGAATCACAGAGTCGTTTGGGTTGGAAGGGACCCTCAAAGCTCATTTAGTCCAACCCTCCTGCAATGAGCAGGGACATCTTCAACTAGATCAGGGTGCTTAGAACCACATCCAGCTTGGCCTGGAATGTCGCCAGGGATGGCGCGTGCACCATATATTGCAGACTTGCTGACCATGCTGGCCTCTTGCCTTCCTTACTTGATTTCTTACACCTGGGGATTGTGACCTCTTGTGCTCTGTGGAAAGCATCCTTAAAGACATGCCAGCACTATTCTGCTCCCTTGTCCCTGAGGACAGTTTCCCAGAGGGTCCTATTGACTAACTCTTTAAAGAGCTGGAAGATGCCTTTCCTCTTTGATGAGCAGAGATGCTTCCTCCAGCATCACCCAAACCCTCCAGCTTGCAGCAGGAGGAACCTGCAGGAGGAGCTCATGGCCCTCGGGGAATCCCTCCTTCTTTTCCTCTTCCTCTTCCTTCGGGCTGCCTTCACGCTCAACCTGGTCTGCACTCTTCAGAGAAAAGCAGTAGCCCCTTAATGCATGAGCAGAGCAGCATTACGGGAGACAGAGAATTAATTGCTGTGAGATGATCATCAATTATTTTCACTGCACATTATATCCTGTTAATGAGAGTCCTTTGCGGGTGTCATGGAGCCATTGCCAGGGATCTGAGCGATGCTCCAGTACTGCAGGGTGACTGCGGGGTGGCTGTGGGGTGCAGCACATGCCCCAGGGTGGCTCTGCTGTGTTCACTGCAAACAACACCAAGGACAATCTCAGCTGCACTTTGCCTGGGCTTTTTCCCTGGGTGCACCCCAGACCTTTGCTTCATGGAAATTGTGTCCTGTTCCTCAGGTGTAGCCTTGGAGAATAGCCTCTAGGACAGGGAAATGTGGTGCTGCCTGGGCAGGGGATGGGATGTTGCAGCCGGGTGCCCACAGGGTACCTGTGGTGGCTCCAGGCCAATGGCGCAAAGGAGGTGTTAGTGTGAAAACCTTGCTGGAGGCACTCGGTGGGCAGGCTGGTCCTGGCATTCTGTGATTCTGCACAGGGTGAAGAGGCTGCACGGGCCCTGTGATGGGCACAGATGTGTCCGGAACATGCCAGGCTGTCTGTGGTGCTGGCTGATGGCTGCTCCTTGTCCAAATACCCATCTGGACCCAGAGCTGTGTTCTGCACCAGAGTGCAGCAGGCAGGAGGAGGAGATGCCCGTGGCCACCCTCAGTGTTTCTCGAGTGCATGGGGGTGAGCTGATTCACCCTCTGTAAATCAGCAGAGCCTCCTGGGGCTGCAGTGTATCGCCTGCTCATCCCCCTTGGGCTGTCAGTGTCTCAGCGGTGGCTTTTATTGCTGTGCTACCTGGTGATGTTTCTCTGTGGCTTGATGTGA